TGATCCCACTTTATACAAGTAACTGACGCTGCACGTAAACTTATGATGGGAAAAATCAACACCATGTTTCTGTTACGAGATCAGAAGGTTTGAAGAGAAGCATTAAAACCACTCCTCACATGTTGCTTTAGATGCAACACTGATATCCTTCCTTTCTTCCTCTGCAACACGAGCTCTTCAGAAGGCTGTGCCACCCCAGTGCAGTGGATGCTGCTTAAATCTCATTAAATTTAAGGCTGTGTAAAGCCCATGCAGGCAGTCTCAGCTCACTTACTCTGGCTGTTCCCTGGGGTCCCAGGTATCATCAAACTCAGATCCTTCTGGGACCTCCTCTGTATTCCAAATAGTTTTCCTGTTTTCAGATTTCATTTGAAAAGTACCTGTATGGGATGAGGAAAAATCCCACTGTCACCTTTTTGAAATGTCTCTGTTCCTCTAGGTTTGTTGAAAACTTATAATATTGTTCTACAATTAAAAAAAAAAAAAAAGAATAGAAAAGCCATTTCTAAAGCCTAGGAAAAAATATTTCTGGGTTTTAGAAAAATCTTTGCATTAAAAGCGTTCTAGTAATTACAGTCTCCTTTACCTCAGTATCTTATGAATGAGGATTGGCAGAGGGAGGATGTTTTCCTTTCACTTAAATCTCCTTTACACAACCTCTAGGTCCAAGAAATCCTCCTTTTGGGCACGAAACATCAAATGCTTCAAAATGGATAAAGTGTAAAAGGACAAAATACTAATCTCCCCCAAGCCCCCTGACATGAGATTTTTTCAGTGAGCAGAGATTCACAAGAGGACCTTCTCCTCACACAGAAGTCCATTTTTCCCCATTAATTAAAGTGCTGAAGAAAGTTTATGGGCAGAATAGTATGATTTATGCCTGTCCTGCATGGAAAAGTATTTTTTCTAGTAAGGTGGTAAATTTTAAACTCGGAGGTTTTTAGAACCCTTTCTGCTTCTCTTTGCATATTTTACAGTTAAGCTTTCAGGAAAAGGATAATTTAAAGTGTAACTGTAAAAATGTGGTGCAAAGTCCATCTCAAAGGTCGATGACCACTCTTACTGAAGCAAACCCTTCAGTGGTAACTTACTACAGCTGTTTAAGTCTGCTGACACAGGACTGAATGCTAAAATACACAAACACTCCTCCTTACCAGTGGTCTCTTTCTTTACTGGTCCAATACTCCCAGGAGTCATGGCACCGACAGAACTGCAGCGTGACTGCAAAAAAGGCAAATGGATCAACCAATTCTGGTGGAGCCAAGCTCAGTTATAACCATAATGTCAGTAAATATAAAATGCTATCTGTATTTGAGGTCAAACAAATCCCTGCTGGAATCCACAAAACATTATCCCAGAGTTTCATGACTGAACCACTGAATATTTTTTTCTTCACTCTCACACAGCAGAAAGTGACCTTGACACACTGGGCTTAAGCAGGACTCCAGAAGCCCAGTTATACAGACAGATGTGCTTTTTGAGTTTTAGTTTCCATGGCATTCTGGCAAAATTTTCATGCTTTGCCTGCCATGAAAATATTACAGGAAACCAAGGGTTCTACATGAAAACCCCATCACAGCATTTGGATTCCTTTTGACAGTAGAGATCATATAAGGCAACAATATTTTCCTCTAATTATGAATCAATTTAGTGCTAATAGGCCAATGTGAGGCATTTCTCTATATATGAAGATTCCTTGGTTCGATAAAAGTGCCTCATATGCACAGAGCATTAAATTAAATCAAAATAAAGATTTCAATTTACCCAGATTGACTCAGACTTAATTGACATCCCTCGTGGCAATTTTCCATTTCTGTCTCTGAAGTGCCATTCATTTTATTAATAAGATGTAAACAAATACTTTTAGAATCAGGATGTTTACTGCAGAGATGTACAGCAATAATGGTAGTTTTAAAAGGCAGGCATCAAACAGCTGGAGGGTAGTTGGAGTGTGAAGGACAACATCTATACCCTACTAAAAGGAAATTTCAAGGGACATGCACCCCCTTTATCCCAAATATTACTCCCATTTCCAAGTTGTGCCCTGGGGCACAACTGCTGGGTCAGCCAGCTGTCTCTTTGTTGAGGAGTGATTTGGAAGAGCACTGAGGCATTTGCCATTTTTGTCATCCATGTCATAACATGATTTGTTCAAAATTCCAAGAAACTTGGCAAAGTTTTGAGCCTTCACAGAGGCCTTTCACATCATTGGCACCTGTGGGGCTCCTGGGAATATTTCTCCCCAGCACACAGGCATTGCTGCAGGAACAATGCAGTTTTTCCAAAAGCTGTGTTCCTCATCTTCTCCTGAGATGAATTGCTACAGAAGAATGGAGAGATATTTCTCTCATTATCCATTCAGATTATTCATCTTAGAATGATTATTCACCTTTCACTATTCTACAACCACCAAAATATCTATTGCACTTCAGTGATCAATTTTCTCTGCAATTCTTCAATGCCTGACAAACACAATTAGTACACTCAGTTGCCTCTGGATATTTTAGTCTTTACTCAGAAGTTGAGCAGCAACTTTTTTCCCATCATATGAAGTATTTAGCTGTAATTGCCTTCATCTCCAGCAGGCTTCAGGGAAAAGTAGGGAGAAGCCTAAAGTTTCTCAGGCTCTTTCAGCTAGGTGTTCTCATTTCCTTCAGGCTGAAAAATTAAACCTCCTTCATATTTTGTGCTCACAATCTGTCCTTGCTTTCCTGGGGCATCTTCCTTATTCTCTCCCTCAAGAGCTTGTTACTCTAAAAGTATCTTCCAGCTATTCCAGTCAGTCCAAAACCTTCTAGAGTTTTCATTCTCTTTTTACACACTCTGGGGAAGGAGAGATTTGCTTTTCCTCGGTTAACGAGGTTAGGCTATGGTACAGTATGTAAAAGAAGCAGCAATTCTTATGAATTCTTATTCTCACCACATCCTCCTCCTCCTCCTCTTCTTGAGCATCACGGAGTAATTTGGCAAGGCACTGCAGGGAAGAGCCTGAAGAAACACTGTCCATATCCATACCCACTGCTCACCTATGCAGGAAAAAACAAGTGACAGATAACGAGAAAACCAGGTGTGTTTTGTACAGTCTGTAAAGCACATTTTCTCAGCTGTGTGTCCTGGAAGGATAACTTTGTGTGATGACAAAAAACATATAATGGAACACAGAATCATAGAATGGGTTGAGTTGGAAGGGACTCATGAGGATCATCGAGTCCGAGTCCTGGCCCTGCACAGGACACCCCAAGACTCCCACCATGGGCCTGGGAGCATTGTCCAAACCCTCCTGGAGCTCTGGCAGCCTTGGGGCTGTGCCCACTGCCCTGGGGAGCCTGGTCAGTGCCCAACCACCCTCTGGGGGAAGAACCTTTTCCTGAGATCCAACCTAAACCTGCCCTGACTCAGCTTCGTGCCTTTCCTTCGGGTTCAGCGAACCCGAGGAAAGAACAACCAACCTCTTCTCTCCGCGCCCACAGCACGGACTCTTTTGCTCCGCTGGCTCTGGTTGCCAGCACGGCTCGGGCCTTACAGCAGACACCGCGTCACACGTAACCCGGCAAAACTCCCCGAAGGATCTCTGCCCAACCGCCAGGCTTCGGACCGACCCAGCTGCGGTCCCGGCGGAGGGCGAGCGGACCCGAACCCCCGAGGAAAACCCTTCGTCCCCGCGGCCCCGCTGCCGGGCGGCCACGGCCCCTCAGCGCCGGGCCCCTCACGCGCGTCCTCGTCCCCATAGCAACGCCCCGCGCCGCGCCGCCCGGCGAGCCAATCGGAGCAGCGGGACCGTGAGTGGCAGCGAGACTGACCAATGGCCGCCGAGAGCGGGCAGGGGCGGGGCGGGCCGTGTCCGCCCGGGAGGGTTCACCTTCTCCAGAGGCAGCGAGACCCCCGCGGTGTGCCCGGAGTTTCTGTGTGTGGCCGTGCTGCTGCCTTTCACGTTGATAACCAGTCAACGTGGATGAGGGAGGGGCAACTGCTGTCATCTACCTGGACTTGTGCCAGGCATTTGACACCGTCCTGGGTGACATCCTTGTCTCTGAACTGTTGAGACGTGGATGTGATGGATGGACCCCTCTGTGGATGGGGGATTGGAGAGTTGTGTTTAAGGGCTTGATGCCCCAGTGGGGAGCAGTGATGAGTGCTGTCCTCAGGGTTGGGACTGGCACTGTTTATCAGCTGTGCTGGTGACAGGGACAGTGGGACTGAGGGCACCCTCAGCCACTTTGCAGATGACACCACCTGTGTCCTGTGGTCACACACTGGAGGGAAGGGATACCATCCAGAGGGACCACGAGTGTGACTGTAATGCACATTCCAAACTATTTTTACTAATCGAGGGAGGTGAACGGTCACATACTTAGCAGAGGTGCCCTGATGCTCAATTCTTTGCACTTCGAGCTGTTCTGCAAATTACCAAAGGGGTGCAAATGTTATATTTACTTTCCTCTGCTGCACCACACCTGCCTTGCCTAGCAGTGTCCCTGAAGGAGGGGAAGGCACTGCTCACCGCAGTTACTGGCAGCAGCAGGGGTTAAACGGGTGCGTGGCTCTCCCGGCTGGTCCTGACACCGAAAAGCAGCAGAAACAAACTTCTAAACACCACTTTGTAGGTGTTGAAGAGAGCATTCTTTATTCAGCACGCTGGAGGTTCGGAGGATAGCTCCTGTAATCGAAGGTGCCAGATGACAGGTAGATAGGGCTTTTTATTACACGTACTGTTTACACGTTCATTAGATATTCTCGCTTACCTCATCAGTTTGGTTTACACAGCCGCACCCTTATTCGAAGTCCTTTTTTTTTTGGTCCTTCCGGGTCTTCTTCGTCGTCTTGACCTCGGTTCTGGAGCAGGCACAGCGTCACAGCGTTCCACCGCCCAAACCCGTCACGTTTGTTCTTTATCTCGTCTGGGTCACACAGCGCTCAGTTCGCACCCCGCTTGTTCGCGTTACACCCCTCACCTGACCTCTCTGAGGTTACAGCGCTCCTTCATTCGGGCATGCCGGGGCAAAGTCCCTGTTTCTCCCAGAAATAGAGTTCTCCTATTCCTTCCGGGCCGCGGCTCCCGGCGCTCCGCGCGCGGCCGCGGGCGCTGCCGGGGCTTGGAGTCCCGGGATCGGCGGGATCGCGGGGAGCGCCGGGGCCATGCGCAGGTGAGGGGGGGTCCCTGGGGTCCCAGACTGCACCTCCGGGGTCCCAGACTGCACCTCCGGGGTCCCAGACTGCCCGTCCGGCCTCGGCCCCTCCGCCGGGGGGTCACCGACAGCCGCCTTTGCGGGGCGGCCCCCGCGCCTGGAGCTGCCCCGGCACGGGGGGGCTGAGCCCGGCACGGCCCCGCTGTCACAGCCGGGTCTGACCGCCGGACAAGGCGGGGGATGCGGTGGGAAGGGGAAAAGGGAGCTTGAGCTTTCCATGGAGCGCTGCCGGAATTCAGAGCTTCCCTTCGCCCTCGCGGTTTTCTTTCTTTCGCGGCTCCTTTTGAAGCTGACAGTGCCCGTTTTAGAGAGTGATGCAAAGCACTTGTCCGGCAATAAAAATTATTGCATGTGATCTAAAAGAAGAAAACAAGAAACCCCCAAATAATAACAACAACAACAACAATAATAATAAAGCTCTACCGAAATAATAATAATAATAATAATAATAATAAAACCTCTACCGAAATAAAAACACCCTAAGAGTCCCTAGGGTACTTTAATGTTCTCAGAGTAGTCCCCGGTCTGTTGGCTTTTCAAGTAACATTAGTGGGAGCTTTAGTCGAGTAGTTTTGGCTCTGTGTTGTGCTTTAATTCCCATTAAAACAGCCGAAGAGGTAGAGAGGTTGTAGGGGGGATGTGCTTTGAGCAGTGTTCTCCCCATTGCCTTACTGACCACCTCTGTGCTGGGCTTGTGTGCCTCAGGGTCAACAGCAGCCTGTCCAGTGATGAGCTTCTCCTGGAAGACTTGGAGACAGAAGGGGAGAGGCAGCTGAAGACCCTCCTTCAGCAGCAGCTTGATACCACTGTCTCCATCGAGCAGTAAGTCCTGGTCTGCTCCGGGTGTGGCTGGGGAGGGAGTCCAGCCCCTTCCTGTCCCCCCAGTTTGTCAGTGCTGAGCTGTTTGTGCCGTCGTGTTGCTTTGGGTCACAGGTGCAAGTCGAAGCGAAGATGCTTTGCCCCTGCAGCTTTTTACAAGCCTTTTGGGGAGGAGGCTGCGGGGGCTTTGACCTTGTCACAGTTCCAGGCCCTGGAGGAGAGCAACAAAGAAACTTCCTCTCTCCGGGAGCTGGGGCTCTCCGACTCGGAGATTCTGCTCTGGAAGAACCGGACTTCAACAAGGAAGGTGGGCATGCTCTGCTGTCGTGTGAGTGTGGTTGGATCCCTCTCTCTAACCCTGCAGCACCCAGGTAGAAAATTCCAGTCCTTTGTAAGCCCTCTGGTAAAGAATGGCTACTGCTTATATCCAGCATGATCCCACATTTCTTCTGGCGTGTTTTCTTTGCTGCAGTGGTCTATGTTAAAAGCCACAGTGGAGTGAGGAGTGGGTCCTTTAGAACACAGCAGGACCTGACTATATTCCTGCTTCTGCTTTGATAATCTCAAGCAAATAATTTCACCTGCTTATACCTGTGTAAGTAGGACTTAAAGGCTGGAAGAGAAGAAGGAGGAAACATTTCGAAGCGCCTCAACCTCCTCCTTTCAGTATCCTGATACATCCCTGGATCCCATCACTGGCTTGGGATAGCTGTCTGTAAGGGAGGATTTTGTGTGTTCTCCTTAGGGGCTTGCAGGTGCTTCAAGGGCCTTGGAACAGCCCTGTGAAAATAGCAGTGCAGGGCTTTCAAACCCAGCGTGCGATGGCAAGGCCAGACTCCTCTCTGGGTGCTGTTTGCAGCAGAGCAGTGCCAAAGCAGGTTTATCCCCTTCCCCCACCTTTACCCTTTTCTTTCACATTCCTGAGACAAGGGGCTTTTGGGGTTGTCCTGTGTCAGGTGCACTGGAGTGTGCTGCTCTCAGTTTGGTAAACTAGAAGGTGCAAACCAGGACTTGGGCTGACCCTTGGATTCCCTCTGCCTCGTCTTCCTGAGTGATAGCTGTGTGTGGTAGAAAGGTGTTTCTGGTAGTCAGCCTCCCTTCAGCTGAAGTCATTGTTTGCTTTGGTGTTTAAATGAAACCCAGCCCTCCTGGGGCCTGATTAAAGCCTGGTTTAGAGAGGGGTGGTGTTAGTTCAAAAATGAAAATTATTGTCAACAGTACCAGTTGTTACATTTAGTATGCAATCAATTCTGGGATGGTTAGAAATAAAGATTAGCATGGAAAACACTACTCTGACAGAGGGAACCAGTGACATTAGGGTATGTCTTCTACCACTTGTGAGAGAAGAAGAATATTGTGAGAGAGAGAAAGCCCAAGTCAGGTGGTGATGTGCAGCTTTGTACATGGAGGCCCTGAATGAAAGATTCCACCAAGAATGATGAGGAATGTCAGCTGAGACAGAGAGAACTTCAGATTGCCCGGGGAGCTCTTGGCAAAGTACTGAGTGCAGATTTCTGTTATTTTCAGCTGCTAAGTGGCAGCTTTTTTGAAAACAAAGTACTACAAATGATTTCCGGGAATTGCTTTTCCATGTAAACAGGCTTTTGTGCCTCAGGGAAGCTGTGAAATGGTGAATGGAAGCCATGCAGATGTGGGGCAGAGGTACCTTGGGAAAGTCTTTGTTAGGTTGTGCTAAGTGCAGGGAGAAAGCCTGGTTTCTTGCCTGAGGCAGAAGGATCTGCCACAGTAATTCTCAAACTGAATTTGAAAAAGAAAATCCATCCCATAGAAGTGTGTTGCCTGGATTCTGATCAAGGTGGATGGAGGAACAGAAATGCTCTTTCAGCAGCTGTGCTTTTGGCCTGGCCCCGTGCAATGAGGTTTAGTTATCCAGGGATGCTCATGTGCAGCCAGGTGAGGTCTGTGCTGCACTCACTGTGTGGTTCCTGGAAGTTGGCTTGAGTGATGCTGGTCAGGGCTTAGTCCTCAGCATAAATCTACCCTCAGGTGCCAAATGGCAGCTTGGGGTCCACTTTCCAGCAAATAATGTTCTCTCAGTGAGGAGGTCGTAGAATAAAAGGTCATAAAATAAAAAGCTTGATGGAAACTTGAGTTGGGGAGTGCTGTAGGAATGGGGAAGGAATTGCCAAAGGGGTTTGTGCAGTTACTGAAGGTGGCTCTGTAAAATGGCTGTACCTGTCAGAGGCAAGGACTGCAGGGACAGAGGGAGTCAGGCCCGGGAGCAGCACAGAAAGGTCAGGAGGAAGGGGCTGTTTCTCCACTTCTCTCAAGACCTGAGCTTTCTGAGTGGTTGCAGTAACAGGACCTGTTGGTGCCCTGCTCTCTGGGGGTGGTTCCTGGTTGCACCCACTGCAGGGCTGGGGGGTGTGAAGTTTGGCTGCTGGCCGAGCCTCTGAGGAGGAGGCCAGTTCCTGAGCAAAGCTGTGCTTGTCTTCCAGGGCTCTGGGCTGGGGGCGGCCCCAGAGGCCACGCAGGACCGGCTCCATGCCATCCAGGAGAAGATGGAAGAGCGTCAGCGCATCCTGGCTCTGCCGCAGAGGTTTGCTGGCAGCAAGCAGCTGAGCCGGAGGGAGATGGAGATTGAGAATGCCCTTTTCCAGGGAACAGACCGCCACTCCTTCCTCCGGGCACTCTACCACGAAGGTCTGGGGGCTCAGGGCTCTTCCTGCCTCGGCTCCAGCACGGAGAGCCAGGCTGTGTGGGAGTCCAACACGTCTCTGTCTGGCCTTCTGTCCCTGAAGATGTGGTTCTGTTTTGGTCCTGTGTGGGAGGGGATATTTTCCTCTCTTACAGGAGAAGAGAGAGAGTTGGTTCTCCAAAGGGTTTAATATAGAGCCTTGTAAAATGCATCTTTTTGGGGAGCATGGGTCTCATGGATGTGCTGCACATACTGCAGAGCCCAGCTCGGGGTGTGGAAGAGGGGCTGGAGTTGTGCTTTGGTAAAGCCTAAAGATCTGAAAACTGCAGTCTAACTAGGGGGGGAAGGAAGCAAAGGCACAGAGCAGGTGAGAGTAGGAATGACTTGTTAAAGGCTCCTCTCTGAAGTGGAATTGGATCCAGTTGTGGATTCCCTGTACTGTGTCCACGGGACGACAGCACTTTCTGCCCTAGTGGTGGTGTCCCTAAACCTGTGGCTTAATGTGACTTTTCTAGACAAAGACTCAAGTGTTGTGCAGAGATGGCAAAAGCTGCTCCAGGCTGCTTTAGCTGGAGAACACGTGGGCATGAAGCTCAAGCCCAGGCTGATTTTTGTATGTAACAGTGTTCAGTAGAAGGTGAGGGGGAACGTCTCTACCCTTAGCTCCCAAAACATCCCTTTGATAAGTGGGATAAGCTGCTCAAACTGTAATGTCCAGCTGACCCAGAATCCTCTGACCCCTATTCCCTCCTTGGGTGTCACTGTTGTGGCATTTAGCAAAACCAAGAGGCAGCAAGGCTGAGGTTTGTGGGCTGGGAGATACCCCTCTCACCTTTGTCCTCATTTCCATTAAGTGAATCATAAGAGATCACTGATCAGTCCATGCCATGGACCTTCTTTACACCCAGGAGCTTAATCTGATGTCTCTGGAAGCAAAAAGTTTCTATTGCATGTAGAGGTGTAGAAAGGCAGCATGGCACATCCTGGCCATGCACGCAGGAGGAGGAAGGTGTATCGAAGGAGTCACTGGAATGTGCTGAAATGTGTCGGCAGATAAGCTGGTGAGGACACCTCTGGAAGAAATGACCTCTGCACATAGCAATGGTGGAGCTGCTGCTCTCTGCAGGTTCATCCTGAGCTGGGAGACCAGCACTTGCTGGCTGCTGGGGCTGCTCTTCTTGTTTTAAACAACCTGCAGGGCCTGGTTGACAGGTGCTCAGAGGCTGGGCTGAGGCAGGGTTTCTCCTCTCCGTGTCTCTTCCTGCAGACACTGTGTTTCCCAGGTTCTTGGTGGTAGTCACGTTACCATGTTTCTCTGTTATGAATTAGATGACACTCAGAAGAAGGGAACAGATGAAAAGGACCCCATGGTTCATCTGGAGAGCGTTTACCAAGAGCTGCTGAGCAAGAAGTGCCCTGAAAAAGTCCAGCCTGCTAAGAGTGACCCCTGCTTGTGCCCTTCCCTGGCCCTGCAGGGGCCTGTGACCGGGGACTCGTCACCTCCAGACCAGGAAGAGCAAGCAGAACAGGCAGCAAGTCCCAGCGTTCCTGCAACAAAGCCCCACCAGTCCTCTCCAGGGCCAGTGATTATCAAGGAGCCTGTAGAGTTTGTCCCAGAAGAGGAGATCCTCAAGAACCGCCTCTCAGAGGAAGAACTCCGGAAGATACCCAGGTTCTCGTCCTACCATCCAGGGGAGCCCAGCAAGGTAAGCTGAGATGGACCAGGATTTGTTCTGGCTCACTAGCACGCCCTGAAGCTGTGTCAACAAGAGAAGGCTCCTCTGCTGTTGCCTGGAGGTTGCTTGGCTGATCCTCCAGACCAAGGGAGAGAAGCCTGCACTCTGGGAGGGAAGGGGACCTTGGGCTGTACTGGGAGGTCACAGGCCTGGCAGAGAGTTGTGCTTCTCAGCCCAGCCTTCCTGGCCCCAGCGAGTCACCAGCTAAGATGTGCTCTCTCTTTGGACCTGGCTGAAGCCAGCTGTGCTTAACTGATAGCTGAAGCTTGCTGCATTTTAAAAGTAACTGAAACTGTCGGCACTCGGTGCAGGTAAGCACAGGGATGCCTTGAGTTCAGAGCTGCCTTTTTCTGTGCACCCACCCATCTTCCAAACATCATCGTTAGAATGCGGGTGTGAGGGCTCTGGGGTGGCAGAGGGGCTGAACTAGTTCACACCCTTGATCTGCACGGACTTGGGACCAGGCTGAAAGGTGTCTTTGCATGGCAAGGGATGACCCTCTGTGTCCCTGGATCAGGTGCTGTATTTGAAGAACCTGGGCCCTCGGGTGACGATGAAGGACCTGGTGTCCTTGTTTGCCCGGTTCCAGAAGGAGGACAGCCCACTGATCCAGTTCCGCCTCCTCAGCGGGCGGATGAGGGATCAGGCCTTCATCACCTTCCCTGGTGAGTTGCTGTGTTGCTTCCCTTGTGCCTCTCAGTTCTTCCCCGACCCCCAAAGGTGCCACATCTTCCCCCAGGCCACTGGGCTGCTGCCCAGCCTGCTCTCCAAGGAGAAGGAGGAGAATTCACTCCCTCCTCTCCCTCTCACATCATAGTCTTTTCCCTAGATTGGAAGAGGATTTATCAGAGCAGAGGTGATGCTGTGCCAGCATGTGCTGGGTGACCTGTGCCCACTGTGTTCTGTCTTGTAGATACTGAGTCTGCCCAGAGTGCCCTGCAGCTGCTGAACGGGTACAACCTGCAGGGGAAGCCACTGGTGATTGAATTTGGGAAAAGCAAGAAGCATTTGCCAAAGGCTGACGCTGCCATCCCCAGCTCCTCTGCTGCAGAGAACCCCCCTGCCACGTGAGGGTGGATAACCAGGAGCCTTGTGGAGTTCAGTGAGCCATGGGAACTCCTTGGTTGTACCTGGGACAGCGAAGGACTGTTGGAATGTGCAGGTCCATTAATCTCAGGGTGGGGAAGGGAGAGAGATGGGCACTGCCTTTACACTGTTGGGGTGGACTGGCTTTTTCCTCTTGTTCCACAGGAGGCTTTTTCCTCTTGTTCCTCAGCCTTTTGAGGCAGGGAGGGAGAGAGGAGGCCGTGTAAATAAATGCACTTATTATGGTATTTCCACAGCGTGTGCTTATTTACATTTGTGCTCCACAAGTGTTCTTCTCCAAGTGTCCTGCATCAAGAAAAAAACCTGTCCCTTTTCTTCCAGGTGCTGTGGCTGCACGGGTATGTAATTACATGGGTGCTTATGATGGGAAATACATGTTGGCTCCTCACTGTGGATGCCCCTAAAGCCCTGTGGCATGGAGGATGGCTGCTCTGTGGGGTAGCATTAATGGCAGACACTGTGGTTTATCTGCTGCCCTGCTTTACTGCTTTTTTGTGAAAAGCACTTGTGTGGGAAGCACATGCTTCCCACAGCATGCCAGTGTTCAGGGGAGAGCAACATCCCAGCTCTGGGGGATGGTGGGTGAGGGAACCCAGTTTGCTCTTGCCCAAAACACAGAAAACAAGGCTCACTTTCAGAAGTGGAAGGATACTTAATTTAAACACCAACTCCAGCGTGCCAGGGACTGCAGTCTCCCAGACTGCTGCAGCTCCTCTGAGGATGGCTCTTCATCCAACCATCTCTTAAAGACCCAAGAAAAAGCTTATTAAGTCACAATTAAACATATTCCAGTTACATTTAAGCACCAAAGAACTCGGCCAGGGAGGCACAGCCTGCCCAGAGCCCTCCTAGGCAGCATTTGTGTATCCCACCAGTCTGCAGGCAGTGCTGAAGGACAAAGAGCCCACACTTCCTGCACAAACTTCACACAGTTCCTCAGACTGGGGTCAGTGAACTCCCCTCCAACACCACAAAGACTGGCTTTGGAACAAACAACACATTTTATTGCAATAAAAAGAAGCAAAGGCAGGTCATCATCTCAGACCTCAGTTCCCAAACAGCTCTGTTTTCTGGGGAGGCTTTTATGTTAACCCGTTAAACTTGGGAGTCCTTCAGTCAAAGGTGATGCGAAAACTGCGCTCCTGCTCCTTGCGGCGGCTCTCGCAAACCTTGGTCACCTCTTCCACCTTCCTCTGCAGCACAGCTGGGGGAGAAAGAAGGGATTAATCTCACAGTCACCCCCAGAACACAACCCTGCACACTTGTGCCCGCAGAAGGAGAAAGAAAAACATTCAAGCAGGGCTTCTCAGCAGAGGCCCCCAATCAGGCACATCAGGGGAACTCGAGCACAGAAGGGACAGTGACATTGAAGGTGAGGAGGAAAAGATTCCTCAGGGATCTTCAGCAATTCAGTGACTCCCACACATGCTACCTGCTTTCCATTTACATTCCCAAAAGGCTGCAAGATGACACTCACCTGAGTTCTGGTCAATCCACTGCAGGGAATCCATGTGTGCATTCAAAATTTTACAGATCTGCTGAAGCTGAGCAGAAAGAGAAGGTGCAAATCAGTTGTTACACTACATAAACACTAAGAGGAGTAAGAGAGAGCCTGCCTGTCCCTTCCTTTGGAACAGGCTGTAGCCAAGTTTTTCACTGTTCAGCTCCCCTAACTGAGCAGCCACTTTCCCAGGGAAGTCTGGGCAGCAACCCTGCTGCTTTCCTTCTCTTTACCATCAGGAAAACTAATTTAGATTATATGTCTGTGGCTTATTCTAATTTAGACCTGGGAACCATCAGAACATTCATCACCCTAGGCTTCTGGTGGCAAAATTAAAAATAAATGTGGAAAACTCAGTCTACAGTACTGAAGGGAAATTTTTACTGAAAAATAAGCTTCTCAGTAAAGCCATAAGGAGTATCAAGATTAATTTAATATACATCAGAAAGAGCTGGTTATTCAGATCTTGTTTTCATGAGGATACAAAAATGGTATAAGGAAAATGTATCAACATCTGTGGGGGGTATTCTGAACAAAATTTAGATTTGGCACAGGACAGATGCAAGTGGTGGAGCCTGATCAATGTTAAATGCCTCTGAAACAAAGCACAATTTAGGCAGAAATTAATCAACAAGCAAACCACCAGAGTTCATACCAGAATGAGATGCTTTGAAAACTGTTAACAGAACTGCAGGGTAATTAAACGTCCTTTGCCAAAGTTAAAAAAAAGCTTGCATTTACCGGGTCACTCGTGTCTGCTGGGCCTCTTGATGTGTTCAAGTGCTCAGTGATGTCCTTCAGGTCTTGTGCCATGCGCTTCAACTGAGCATCGATGTTTTCAGCCAGTTTGTAGCTGCAGAACACAAGGCAACCAAGATCAGAACATTTTAAGTGACCTTTGAAAACCTGCTCCCAGTCACACCAACTATGGGCAATCACAATTAGCCTCCATGTCTTGCAGCCAAGGCTGGCAGAGATGTGGGAGCAGTACCCTGAGAGGCTCCACCACATGCATGAAGAGACTCTTAAACCACTCTCAACAGATACATGGAGACAGACAAGCAATACATAGTGTGAAGGGCTTCCTGGAAGGCTTTGTCAGAACTGAAGGAAGCAATAAGCCTGCAGTCTTCAAGATTCATTCTCTCCTGAGAATGAATCACTAACTACTCTGCTACGATGCATCGCTTAGGGCTCATGAGGATGCCAGTGCCACACCTAGTGTGTTCTGCTCTCATCACTTCCATCACTAAAGAATCATTAATTTTCAGAAATCATGCAAAAATTAGTAAGCTCTTCCCAGACAGCTGATTAGACCAACATCCAAAGAGCTTTTCATGCTGACTCGAGGGCTTCCACTCACAATTCCCATTTCTAACGAGTAAAATCTAAGTTGCCATGCACAAAACAGGGTTAAATATCTGACAGCAGCCACTGAAGGTTCAATACTGTCCTGCATCCCAACTCCACTTTCTGCTGACTGGTCATCACCCCAGGAGTCTGGTCACACACATCCCAAGCAGGTTTCTGCCTTACGTCCTCTCCCGCTCTTCATCCGCGTGCTGCAAGTAGATGGTCCCGCTCTGTTCCTTCACAGACTCCTCCAGAGGAGTCAACAAGTCCTCAAGCTCCTTCTGCTGTGACAGAATGAAGTCGAGTTCCTGATCCAGTCTGAAAAGAGGAAATGCCAATTTTAATAAACCCCTACAGGTTATAAACATTCTAGAGCTGTCATACAACCAGACACGACAAAAAAAAAACCCAACCAAAACCATCTCAGGTGTTCATAGTTTCTTACCTCTTCTGATCAACCTTCACCTTCTCTACTTCTCTGTGTAATGAAGTAATCTGGAAATTGAAGACACTTCGTTAGACCTTGTAAACTCAAAAGACAACTCCCCAAAGAGGAGGAGTGGGAGTGAGAAAGCAGCACCACACAAGAGACAGTTACGTACAGATTTACAGACCAAAGATGGACTGAGGGAGATTCAGATTGGAATGCTCCCCCAAAAAGAACTTGTCATCAAAGTTCTGTGACTCAGCAAAGTCACAGAACAGATTCCCAAGCTCCAATGCATCAAGAATAGAAGACACAGAGATTTGTGAAAAACACCCAGACAGAATTCACATCTATTTTTTTTCACAAGTCGAAAAGTGCCATGCACTGGTTTGTTGCATCTGTAACACTGAAGGCCTTAGAGGATGTAAGCAAGCAAAATCAGGTTACACTGGACATGTCCTCACCTTCTCTCCATTCTCTATCAGCATCCGATCCCAGGCATTCACTTGTGTCGCTTGATGGAGAAAGTGTTTCTCTTGGTCTTCCAGTTCCAGGCTCCACTTGTTTATCAAACTCTCCAGCTGGGCATAAGTCATCACTGGAGGTGTGCTGAGAGGGAGTGAGGGGCAGGACAGAACACAAGGTCAGAAAAGAAAAGAGAAGCACGACAACACTCCTCTCCCCTTCCTCCATCACATCCCTCCATCAGCACTGCAGCAGCTCTCGCCCCAGTCAGGAAACAGTGGTAACAAAACACTCACCTGGTCGTGGTGGTCGTGGTTGTGGCAGCTGTGGAGGTCACAGCTCCAATGGCACCAGTTGTAGTTAATGGCTTCAGATTCAGAGGAAAGCCAGAAGCAGAAGTAGTACCTGGGAAGAAGAGATTCAAGTCAAGCAACAGAAGAGGTAGGTAACAACTGGTAGGTAACAAACTGCAGCAGCTCCAATAGGCCCCTCTGAAAAAAAAAAGCAAACCCCACATCTGTCATGAAGGGAATGAAAACATCACTTGCCCACACCACTCTCAATCTCCTCATGTTCTACTACCAGACCTAATAACTACCAGCACACCCAGTTACACTCCTGCACCTTTGCAGGAGATGAGACTTCTCTGTTCCCAAAACAAGATGGAATAGGAGGATCAAAGAAAGAAGGGCATGTTCTTTTCAGTTACTGGAGGGCTTTACAAGTCAGAACTGCTGTGCTGCTACTCTTTCTTCTTTTCAGCTACTTTCAGCATCTCATTCCTACCAGTGGCACTGCTTGTTGTGGCAGCTGTTGTTCCAGGAACTTTTAATCCAAACCCAAGTGTCCCCAGACCGGCAGTCCCAGTGGAACCAGTGGAAGGGGCACCAACTGTAAACAGAAAACAACATTAAGAGGTTGGAAAAGCTCTGCCCTGCCTGCTCATGCCTCTCACCCCAGCAGCAACAGCAGAGCTCCAATGCCCACAGGTACCACCAGCCCTGCTGCTCATTTATTCCTCCAGTAAATAAAACCTGGATAAAGGCTGTCTGGAGTGACTCACGTGAGAGGCCCGTGGTGGTGGATGACGTCGTGGCCGAAGAACTCGTGACGGACGCGAACAACGTGGGCCCCGTCGGAGCCAGCACAGAGGTGGTGCTGGTGGAGGCCGTTGTAGCAGCTGTGGATGTTACTGCAAAGAGAAAAAGCTCTATCTTGGACAAGCAGAGCACATGGAGCTCCCATCCACTGCAGGACCCTCCTGCTTAGAAGGCGACACAAACTGCCCGGCTGCACCAGGTTCTTAGGGATGTCAAGATTTTACCGGCTTTTCCTCTTATTCTGCCTCAACACTCTCTGCTCTTTCCCAAGGAACCCCTTATGCCTGTGGCTCC